GATTTGGTGAACTTTCCGTTTGAATTGATATACAGATATACGGCTCCGCCTTCGCTGCGGCTGTAATAGAAAGGAGCGCCGACTACTAAATCGATTCGTCTGAAAAACCATATTTCAAACATTTAATCAAATAAAATCACATCAATTTGCTTTCATATGACAGACCCGTCGCCGTTACAGTCGAGTGAAGTCATTGAATAGCCGTAAGAAGAAGCGAACTGTTCTCCACTCAGAATATGGCTCACATCAAAAGTCGACTCTCCCTTATGTTTCGAAAAGAACACCACTTGTCCTAAGAATCGATGCTTTATTTAATATTTATTTCTATACATTTCATTTAAGTATGTAATACCAGTGCCGTTAGCGCGGGGGGCGCCCCCGGCATAACTCGTTGAGCCGTCAAAAAATTTACCCGAAGTCACACTCATTCCTATAAATTAATATTTATTAATATTTATTTATAATGAAAATACTGCACATTCTTCGAGAAAACAACGTTAATAAAACTCAAAATAGCAAAAAATCGTTTTATGCAATAACTGTAAACATCTATAGAATACAAAGCTTTTCATGTGAAACAATACCTAAATAACTGTATTTATCGACTGGGGATTCATTTTCGAGCACAGGTCCCAAATACCTTAAAAGGCAAACATGTTATCCAATATTTGCTTCAATTATAATTAACTTTTTAAATTGTTTAACATTTATATAAAACTCATACCAAGTCTTGTCGTCGCGAATTCGATATCTGAAAATAGATGCAATTTCATCAGTGGTTAGAATAATAGATCATTGGATTAATAGTCGAGACATTGTTTGAGAGATTGAAGAATTGAGTTATAAGTTATCGACGCATAGAAAGAGATTAAAGTAAGTTTGAGATTGAGATTTGAGTTACCCTTCCCTGAAAAATATAGAAACATTAAAACATTAGTTCAGTTATAAAGTCATTGTATTGAATACGAGGATAGGATACAAATGGAAGTTAGACTCAGAGATGACCAATAAATGCGAGTGAATACCTGACGGAATTTGAGAAGACTGTGCCGCGCCATGTGTACGGTCCCGGAGCTCCTATTACTATGTCATAGTCTTCAGTTATCTCACCACTTGTGCCCGCCTGACAGTAACCTAATCACACATAATCACCGCTTTAGCACCAATACAACCAATAAGTCTATTAAACGCTTCTCGTATTTACCAAACTGTTCGTGTGCTTTACTGACCGGCCTGTTATAGCACGGCTCCCACGCTCTTCGGAAATCTAAATACTGTGATAATGAATAACAGATTCCTTGACCCCATTGGAAATCCGATCCTTTTAATATATATCGATGAGCGCACGCCTTATATCATAAGTTTGTTAAATTAATATAATGTTTGCGATCAAAATTTATATAAATAACTCAATACATACCATAACATAACCTGAAAATTAAATTAATTCGACAATTAAAATAAATTCAATATAAATCAATAGAAGAAAGTGATTACCTCCCGGGCCCTGACTTTTGACGGTTACGCCTAACCATTGGTCATCTTTACTGATCCCTTCGTCGGGAGCTATAAAAATGAGTTTAAGAGTGAGAGGAATGTAATTTGAGAGGAAGAAAGTTCTCACGTTTATTATCTTCTTCTATCCTAATTTGTGTGCAATCGCTTCGGATTGTATTCAATGGACATTTAAATACTACTCCCGAGTGATTAGTCTGTGGCTGACCGCTCTGTGCTCGTGGAGCGCCCACAAGCATGCTATACACGTGAAGCAAAATATAAAAGTTTTATCACATTATTATATCATTTATTTAAATTATGATAGACTTATATTAATGTACTGTGAATTAACTTATGTAATTAGAGATGTTAGTGATACAATTTAAAGAATATTTAGGGCTAAATTTAGGGTCTTTCTGAATCTTTAAGATAAATTTTCAATCACTCTATATTAGCAACATCTTTGTTGCATATATTTATTAAATAAATAGCTAATTTTTGTAATTTAAACTATATCAACTATTATCATATACAAAAAATATTTACATGCTAATCAGGACATTTTATTGTCGTAAATTGTCGATTTTTTAATATCACATAAAATAGTTTTTAAGTAAAATATTCTCAGAATACATAACAAAAATTTTAAGAATTTGGAAGAATTTTTACTAAATTTAAAATACTGTATTAAGAAAAACAAATAGCTTTTTTTTAAATTGTCTTAGATGACAGATCTTCCAATTAATATGCTGATTATATATTTCAGTTAAAAGTATCTAGCAAAAAACATGAAAATTTCTCATTTCTATAAAAATTTAGGCTAAAGTTTCAAAATTTAGCCTAAATATAAGATTCATTTAAATATTTCACTGAAATTTTAATCCCTATATATAATGATGTAAAATGATTTTATAACCGTTTTCAGCAATAATTGAGTGTTAAAAACAATTTAAAAACAGGAAAACAAATATTTAATATGCATTGAAATCATATTTTGGAAATAATATACCGTAACGTAGTTTTCAAACATAACAGTAATTATATTATAGTCATGTACATTTATATTGTCCTACAATACAAATCAATCACGAAATGTTGATTTAATACCATAATAAAAGTGTGACTTATAATAATTTTTAGTATTTAAATAAATTTAAATGAATGGCATTCAGAGAATATAAAATAACACTTTTCACATTTGGGAACCTTATAATGTTATTCACAACAACAATAGCAAAATACAGTATCCATAACCATATTAACATAATACATCAACTTCATTTAAATACTATCTCAATTTTGTGAACATATAAATCAGCCAATTTAGGGTTGCATTCGTATTCATAGAGTACTCTATTTTCTATGTGTAATTTGATCGTAAAATTGATGTACGAGACCAACAAAAAGCAACATAAATCAATCCAAATGGCCTTTTATTGTATAATAAATATTTTTGGTCCATATATTCAAGAATATATATAAAACCCATCAATAAATTCAATTTTATATTTTTTGTCGCATAAATGAATTCACTATAACGGGGAATATTGTATATATTGTTTCAATTTAGCAAAAATTCTGTTTAGTAACACAGAAAACGTGAACAAATTTTTATTAATGTCTAAAGGTTTCAAAATTAATACATTTAAGGCGTTAATACTTTATTGAATGTTGTTTTTAAAAACGAAGAATAAAATGTATTAATATTTATAAGAAAGCACAGGAAGTTATGCCCACATATATACTGTACTTATATACGTACATAACAGGAATAACACCTACATGTTATCCCTTTATTAATATCGAGTTAATTAAGAAATCTTATTCAATAATGTACTTAAAAACAAGTGAAATCATTAGCAATATATTCATCGGATTTACTTTGAAATGTATTTACAAACAAATCAAATATTCTATTCAAATATTTAATTCTTTATGTGTTGTAATATCCCGTTAAATAAGACTTAAAATTCTATCGCTTTATATTTTTTTTGAAGAAATTTAATGATTTTTACAAAACATAAATGTTTAAAGAGATGAATCGTTGGCATCATTTAGAGCACAATATATCGCATCCCATAATAATTGATGGCACAGTTAGTCAACATCAGCCAAATGACTCAATAGTCTCTCTCTCTCTCTCTCTCTCTCTCTCTCTCTCT